CTTCGTTGTGGAGGGTGCCAGTCGCCATCTGGCTTTCCGTCAGCAGCTTGTGGCCTCTAAGCTCAAGGTGCTGTGTCAATCTTAGATGTGGGTGGGCATAGCCACCATCCCATGCAGGAGTCGAACCAGCAGCCTTGTTGTTAAGAGCACACGCTCTAGCCACTGAGACATCTGGGCAGCAGCTCAGCTCAAGGTGCCAAGTTCAGTCTTAGTTGTGGGTGGGCATAGCCCACCATTGAACAGGCAATCTTGTTGTTACACCAGCTGAGCCATCCTGCCACCTGTTGGCAGCTCAGCGACAGCTCAGCTCGGGCACAGCGTCACTGGCCCATGTGGGAATCGAACTGGCGGCCTTGTTGCTCAGAGCTCGTGCTCTTAAGCCAACTCTTAACCAACTGAGCTACTCGGCCAGCCCGAATTTTGGCTTTTGAACTTCCTAAGTCCTCAAAAATCACCATTAACAAATTAAAGCTATAAGTATGCAAACTTACTCTTCATTCCTGACACTTGATTAAAAAGTCACAAAACAGGGGGTTAAGAGTGTGAGCTCTGAGCAACGGGGTCGCCGGTTTGATTCCCACATGGGCCAGTGAGCTGTGCCCAAGCTGAGCTGCCGCTGAGCTGCCAACAAGCGGCAGGATGGTTCAGCTGGTGAGAGCACGTGCTCCTAACAAGGTTGCTGGTTGGACTCCTGCATGGGATGGTGGGCTGTGCCCCCCTGCAACTAAGATTGAACACGGTACCGTGAGCTGAGAAGCCCCGAGCTGTCAACTGGCGGCTGGATGGCGACTGGACTTGGAGCTGAGCGCGCTACGCCCTCCACAACTAAGATTGAAGGACAACAACTTGGCTGTTCCCCTTTCCCAATTCCCCAATAAAATCTTTAAAAAAAAAAAAGTCACACAACAGAGAAAAGATTCAAACTTCCCTTTTCGTTGCTTAAAGATGACCTTAACTGTCATTATAAATTATTTTGTAAACAAATCAAAATAACTTCAACAGTTTTAATTAAAATATTTTTATGAATGAATGAGAACTATAGCATCAATAAAAAGAACACTGAATATCAATACTTGCTCTCCTGCCCATGAATCTTATCGCTCCGGTTTTCATACACTTCCAAAGAGAACCACTTGATTAAAGTTTTGATGTAAATCATCAATTTTGTTACTGCTTTAAGTGCTGATTCATTGGGGAAAAGTTAATTACAAAATTCTCAGTAGTGCCTCTCACCTCTGCATTTCATCACCCCAATTTTTTTAGGCAAAAAGCTACAAAAAAGTATTCACAAAATCACAATCATAACATCTTCCCAGCAAAAATATTCTCTTTTCAGCCCATTCTCGTTATCTATGCCTCTATCAAGCAAGAAGGGAAGGAAGGGAGGATGAAGAATGTGTTTTCATTTTATGTGCAATCTCCCTTTACCCAATCATGCAAAATAAACTCTCACTTTGAAAATAATGGTGATAATCACGGAATGTGGAGTACAGCATAGGGAATATAGTCATTGGAATTGTAACAATGTCAGAGGGGTAGTAGATTGGGGCAGGAGGGTTATCACTTTGTGAGAGGTGTACAGATCTCACTATTACACTGTTTTGTACACCTGAAACTAATAAAAAAAAATTTTTAAGAATCAAAAAGAAGAAAATAATGGTGATAAGAAACAAGGCCCACAGCATCACCTGGAACTAAATTCCTAAAAAATAAAGGTTCTTTAACTCATTTGCCTACTTATTAGGGAAATTTTCTTTTCTTTTTAATCACTCAAAGGAAAGCATGTCTATTTTTAAAGAATGAGAACCTGCACAAACAAAAACACAAAAAAACGCTAACATATTCTTCCCAAGTAGAACATCTCTCTCCAGATCATTTTCTATCCAGATTTTTGTTTTTAAAAATCACTGGTTTAGTGAGCCAGCCGAGTGGCTCGTTGGTTAAGAGTTCGCTTGGGAGCGCAAGCTCTGAGCAGCAGGGCCACCGGTTCAGATCCCACATGGGCCAGTGACGCTGCGCCTTCTATAGCTAAGATGGTGAACAACAGCTTGACCTGGAGCTGGGCTGCCTTGCATGGCCGGTGACGGTGTAGGCTGCAGTGGGCTGCCATAAGTTACAGTGAGCAGCCGGCAGCTGGCGTGAGCTGCCGTGAGCCGCAGTGAGCAGCCGTAATGGCCAACTACTGATCTGCCTCAGCCGGGAAGAGCACAATGATCACAATACCAACATGGATCAGTGAAGCAACGTCCTCCACAACTAGACTGAAGAACAAAAGGACAGCAACTTGTCTGTTCCCCTTCCTCGACTCCCCAACGCTGTTCCCTCCAATTCCCCAATAAAATCTTAAAAAAAAAAAAAAATCACTGGTTTACCAATAAATTGTTCCTAGATTCGCAGAGCTTACTCTGGATAGAGTAGACAGGTATGGTCTAGAACCCTAGATGAAGAAGTGAAATTTAAGCTAAGCCTACAGTGAGGAGCTAGCTAGTCATGGTGAACCTCTGAGGGAAAAGCATTAGAGGCCAAGGGAACAGCACCGGTGAAAGCATCAGACAGGACTTGATTAAGGAACGAAAAGACACAGGGAGGAACCCAAAGGAGAGAGTGGTGAGCAATAAGATGATGGATTTCTTGAATTTTTGAAACTGGTCACGAATATCAGTCCTCCTTTAGGCTGTTTTTGAAGACTTACAAAAACACGCTAACTCCACACAAAAAATTCAAATAAAAGCAAAGAAAAAGACAGGTTATTCAAATTCAGTAATATCATTATAATAAAGATTAAACATCTGATTCCTTGCTGAGAATTTTTGCAAGCAAGACATAGCACTTCAGCACCTCCTAAAACATTCTCACCATTTACTCATCCTCCTAAATTTCCACAAAGGTGATCAGAATTTACTGTTTCTGGTGATAGACAATTCCCATGCTTTTAAATACTTTTGCTGTAAATACCTTGAGGCACTTCTGCTGTAATAGCAGACTCTTAGTCTACATATTAAAGGCCACAAACAAAGCACTCACAAAAAATTAAACACAGAATTCCCTTCTGGTATTGACCTAAAAGAGACTGAATTTCTGGGTAAAGGGTAATACTTGATTTATGATCTTACATGAAGACTTATAACAAGGTGATTGATGTTTGTGGTCTGGGAGTTGGCTCATCTAGCATTACATCAGTGTTCTCTATTCTCAGGTCATGGCCCTTTGCCCAAAGGTTTCATTATAGAAAATTTATAGATGTGTTTGAAAAAGTAAAAATTACAAGAAAGTCCTTGGATAACTTATTTTTAAAGTCATCTGCTTAGAAATTAATATGCAATCCAGAGCCTAGCAGTTAGTTTTATTTTCTGATTCTGCAACCTGTGGCAGATGGTTTTCTTGGCACATGTGACCCTGGCATTGTGCCCTGGTTTTTGCATGGATTGACAGTTTAAGGCTGGAGGAAGTATTTCTTTTATCTGAGGTTATAGGTCATGCTGGGCCTGCTCCTCACGTGTGTGTATATGTGATTAATTCCCCAGTCCAATCCAAGTACATCCACACATTAGCAAGGGCCTGTCTGAACATGAAGGCATGGCATGCCATCTCAGAAGTAGTACAAGACCTCTGTTCTATAAACAGTGCTGATAAACTAATGGAAATTGTGACCCCATCCTTGGATTTTTTTTCAACCGTTCCTTCCCTATATGCTTGGAAATGCTCTTGAAATAAAGTCAATTTTGTTTGGCAACATTCCTTTGAGACAAATTGATCACAGAAGCAGAACTAAAAAACCATAACTACAGACAAGCTTAAAAAAGAAAATAAACTATTTGACCTGTCACAAAGGTATATGTGACGAAACAAAGTTTACATAGTGGTACTACTTAGTGTTAGGAAATGAGCTGCTAAGCAAATCTCAAGTCCTATAAACTTTTCAAGTATTTTTGAAAGATAATTCCTTCAATGAGTTATTTAGCTTCCTTCAATCATCCTGTAGTTTAGTCAGGTATACTAGAGGCTCAGGAAACAAAGAAGAATAGTACACTTCCCCTGCATTGGATAGCTCCATAGACATAATTCCGACACCGCCTGAAAGCGAAAATCCTTGACTGTCTCAAAAATTCGGAAGACCTATCACTTGCACTCCAGAGCTCCAAAAAGTTCACAGGCCCGGTGCGGGTACTGAGGTCACTGTTGAGGTGCTAGCCCGCCAAGTGCACCTGGAAATTGCAGTCTGAAAAGGGCTGCCAACAGTCACCTACACCTCCTCGACCCCGCCCCCGCCAAGTCCTCTTCATAAACAAACAGAGGGTTTTTAAAAGGAACTGTCCAAGGTTACCTACCACCTGATATGGCGGAATGCTTTGGTGCGAGATACCAATGAAATAAAATTGTATACTCTATACTTAGAGTATTGCTATACAACATCTTCGTGTTGACAACAGTGTCAACCAAGGCACATAAAACATAACATAAAACCTCTTTCTCAACAGGGTTAAAACGTCAAGAAAAAAACTGACCGAAAGAGGGAGATCTCTAACTTCCCATAGCAGAAACCCCCTGGAAAGGTTTTGGAACCAGCGGAAGTTACAAATCCAGGACAGAAGTGTTTAAATGCACCCCCGTCCCCAGGGTAAAAGTTTGAACCGCCATCTGAGTATCCTACGGTGGTCGGAAACTTCCCTAAACTACAAAAGGCAAGCAAACACTCTAAAATCTCAGCCCTCAGCCAACCCCAGGTGCCCGAATGCCAGGCTGTGGTTTCCTCCCCGGGCCTTGCCTCCCCCAGCTCCCTCCCTTCTCCTGGACACCCACTAGCCTGCCTCGGCTTCCAACGCCGGCCGGGGGGCTCCAGGAACCTCGCGACCGCCGTGGTGGGTCCGCGAGCCTCCACCTCAGGCAGGACCGCCCCCATCAGGCCGGGCGCGGGCGCGCCTCCCCTCTCGGCCGGGCCGCGACCCCCGGGCGCCCTGGCACCCGGCCCCGACCCTCCCCTCCAGCCAGCCGGCCCTCACCTCCTCGGCGTGCTTGCGCAGCGCCTTCTCCCGCTCGTACTGGGTGATGAGCTGCTCGTTGTCGTCCCGCAGCAGCTCCAGCTCCACCTGGTGCTCCTGGTCCTGTGCGAACACCGAGTCCAGGTTCTCCAGCACGGCCACCACCAGTGGCATCAGCTCCTTGACCACCTCCTCGTCGTAGCGCCCGATCAGCCGCTCGAACTCGCGGTAGATGGAGCCGGCCAGGCCGGACACCCGCTCCGACATCACGGCCCCGGAGCCGCCGGGCTCCTCCTGGTACACCACACCGTCCTCCAGCTCCATGGTGGCGGGCGAGCGGGCGGCCCGGGGCGTCGCCGGCTGAAGGGGCGGCACGGGCCCGCACGGGACCGGCCCGGCTGAGGCTGGGGCTGGGCCCTGCGGGGTGGGGGCCCGGGGCCTGAGGAGGGGAGGGGTGGGGTGAGCGCACTCAACCCAACGGCCGCTGCACCAACTGCCTGGGCGGCCCGGCCGCGAGCGCCACACGTCACCCACGGGGCGGGACCCGCGCCGCGTCTGCTCGAGGGGCGGGGCCCCGCGGGAGGCCAGGCGCGGCCGGGGGCGGGGCCAATGCGTCATCATGCGCCGGCGGGGGCGGGGCTAGGCGTCAACATTCGGCGCCTCACGGACCGTGCGTTCGCCAGAGAGAAAGACTGCGAGAGTAGGGTGGTGTAGACTGTCAGCTCTAAACGGGATTTGCAGGGCGGGTCTCAAAGGAAAGAGAGGGCTTCTGGAAGCGTGGCTAGCTGTCCAGAATTAACATAGCTAACACGTCTGTTGTTTTTTACAGCTCACAAAGGGCTTTCTCATTTGTTTCTCGATACGGGCGCGGTGAGGTAGACGTTTGACCTCTGTTTCACAGACTAGGAGAGTAGGCCCGAGAAAGTTCTGGTTCATTCAAGGTCACGCAGCTAGAACGCGAAGAAGGCTGATCCGAGACTCCAGTTCTGAGATTTCCAGGCTCAGAGAAAAGCAACCATAACTAGGACAAGGTCTGTCTTAAGTGATAAGGGGGTCTCGAGTAGGATAGACCTATTTAGGGATAATGAGTAAGTATAGCCTAAAACAGGAAGTGCAAAGCATTCTGGAAAGGGTAAAATTGTGATGCCACATCTTGGTACTTTCCCAAACACTGAGTTTCTCTGTGTCTCCCGTCCAACTTGGGAGAGGCATTTCCTGGCTCCAGCCAACCCCCTTTCCTCTTGTCTCTAAGTGGGGGCGGAGCGGGGGAAGTGGGGGTTGGGGAATAGAGAAGGAAAGGGATAGGATCACTGGCGTGAATAAGTCTCATGATACGTGAGGTCTCCGCCGCCTGGGAGAGCATCACGTGTGGGGAATGACACACCCAAGCCTCCGGCGGACTGAGTCAAGAATCGCTTCCCGGTGTACTCGTCTAGCTTCTGCAAATGGATCGGAAGACACTCCCAAAAGCCCCTGCACTCCGCCCGCAGGTGACTCAGGAGTACTGCGGTCCAACTCTAATAAGAATGGGACGGGGCGGAGGGCGGGGACGCGGGGAGGGGGGGGGCAGGGGGCGAGACAGGCAGTACTTGGATGAACAAGGGTTTAGTGGGGGAATCGGCCACCTTCCAGGATTATAAATATCCTCAACTTGGTATTTACAAGTTCAAGTTCTTCTTACTAAACACAAACTAGTCCCCCAAAATCTCCCAATCTGGACCTACCTGGAGACACACAAAAACAGTACGGAGGTTGAGTGAGGGCCAACCAATAAATTCAGGACAAAAATGAAAATACTAAGCCTTATGAAGTCAGACGGGACTGAATTTGCGGCCTGTGCTGTCCGCCTTTCTCACCCTCACCCCACACCCACCCCTTATATTGTTTGTGTGTATCGCTGGGTTTTAGGAATGTCGGTCAGCTGGTTGGGTGTGCGCCCCAAATGCCCTTTCTCTTCTAAATCTCACATTTGAAACCAGAAGAAAAGAGTCTTGCTCTGGATCTTTCTTTTCTCTCTCTTCCTGAGGGCTGTCACTTAGGCAATCTACCTAGATATATGCCTGTATTTTCCTGGGAGTCAGAGGAACAGGAAAACTCAGGGCAAGGCTTTACTTTGTCTTTCCACAATATTATCATACACATCAGAAAATTTTTAAAAATATCTTGATTTTCAGGTATGAAATCATAAAGCCTTCATAATAAGTATGCTTCTTTAAGTATAAATTCAACATAGATATGAGATAAATATTTATATCCAGATTTTAAGCACCTGCTATCAGAAATTGAATTTGTTTAAAATAAAATTCAGCCAAATATTCATCAACTGTTGAATAGAGAAATAAAATAGTGTATGCATATAATGGAATATTTATTATTCAGCAATAAAAAGAAATGAAGTACATGCTACAACATGGATGAACCTTGAAAATATTATGCTATGTAAAAGAAACCAGTCACAAAGGATCACATATGAAAGGTTAGTTGTTGCCTAGGACTAGGTGGGAGAATGAGGCAAAGTAAGAGTGACTGCTAATGGGTTTAGGGTTTCTTTTGGGGGTAACGAGAATGTTCTAAAATTGATTGTGGAGATGGATACACAACTGTGAATATACTAAAAGCTATTGACTTGTACATTTTAAATAGGTGAATTGTATGGTATGGACATATCTCAATAAAGCTGTTAAAATTAAGTCACATTTATGGCTAAATGAGTTGATAGTAAACCAAATGGAAGTACATAACTCAGTCTGATAGAGTGAAAGGAAAACAGTTTTTAAATTGGGGACCTTATATTCCTTTTTTTTTTTTTAAAGATTTTATTGGGGAATTGGGGGGCAGGTAACAGCGTTGGGGAATTGGGGAAGGGGAACAGACAGGTAGACAAATTGCTGTCCTTTTGTTCTTCAGTCTAGTTGTGGAGGACTTCGCTTCACTGGCCCATGTTGGTATGATCATTGTGCTCTTCCCGGATGAGGCAATCAGTCGCCGATCGTTGGTCAGCCGCTCACAGCAGCTCCCTTTAGCTCACACCAGCTACCAGCCGCTCACGCTGGCTGCCAGCCACTCACGTAGCTCACAGCAGCCCGCTGCAGCCCTGCTGCAGTCGACAGCGACTCACAGCAGCCCAGCTCCAGGTTGAGCTGTTGTTCACCATCTTAGCTGTAGAGGGCAAGCGTCACTGGCCCTCAATGTGGGATCTGAACCACAGCCCTGCTGCTCAGAGCTGGTGCTCCCAAGCAAGCTCTTAACCAGCTGAGCCACTCTGCCGGCCCGGTACCTTATATTCTAATATGGACTGGTCATTTTGAATTTAGGCCAGCAACAATAAAGCAAATTGTTACTGAGTACTGTACCTACTAGGTGCCAGTCGCTGCGATAAGGAACTGTGAGCCTCAGCTGCTGCTTTTGCATAATGAAGAGGTGTGTTATAGAATCTGTAAAGATTTCTTGCAATTCTAAAATTCTATGATTCTCCTTTGTAGGTGGGAGTGAAAGACAGGAAGAGAAGGCCTTGAGATAGAGTCCTGTTAGTCAACTCCTAATTATGTAGGTGGTAATGCTAACTCCTATACTCAACAGCTTGGATAAATTCCCAGCACCCACCTCTAACCCCAAGGGCTGAGATTCTTGTTAAAGACTAAGAGTCATTCAGGAAAACAGGTCATGTTGTGAACTTGAGAGTAAATGTTTACTCTTGATTCCTAAAAGGAAGGAAATTCCATTTTAAGTGATTCTTTGGCCTTGCAAAAATAGTGAACAGTACAGGAGCAGTGGAGGGGAGGAGTTGTTGAAGGCAGGAAGGGAGGAGTTTCTTCCTAAGCACAATAACTATAATCACTGGAGGACGAAAATGACTAGTCCTGTTGTTTGTCTAGCCTTCTGGAACTTTTACAGTTATTTCTATGTGAATCAAACTGCATTTTCCCACATGGGAAGAGAGGATCTCTCTCCGCTGACAGAGGAAGAGAAAAGAGGGCTCCACCTGAGGCAGTATGAAGTGATAAGCGATTCATCAGCCCTTACAAACTAGAATGTGCTCCGTGAGGAGGAGAAGCAGCGTTTGCCACCTCAGACTATGCCTGTTTGGAATATATTAGGCTGATTATTGTTAAGTAACAAAAGACTCATGAAGAACCTTTGAACTTAACCTTCCCCACCTAAAAGAATTTGGATAGAGGATCCGCTCTAGGAAGGGAGCTATTTCTATAGAGTGTGATAGAGCGGAACCTAGAAAGGCGCTCTTGATCAAAGTCCTGTCTGTGTCCCATTGTTAAAGATCCCCAGCAAACCTTATTTACCAAACATGTGTTTTTCCATCTCCATTTTTCCTTCCTGCCCCTTAAAGTCCCAAACCACAACCCCACCTTCTCCTTAGTTCAGGATGGTTCAAATGGCATATAAGCCTTAACTTCCCCACCTGTCCTCCAGTCCCACACTGTTAGGGCACCCCAGTATATACATGCATAATAAATGTGGTTATTTTCTGTTAATCTGTCTCTTGTTAATTTGATTAGTCCAGCCAGAAGAATTTATTTTAAAATATATATATATCTTTTTAAAATTTGGATTAGGAATAATTTTTTTCCTCCCCCACAGTGAGGCAGCCTAGATACGGAATTCAGGACTCTTTGAAAAGTGCCAGAGGACTTTTCTGAGCCCTCAATTTTTCCTTTGAAAGCCTTTTTAAGGTGTCAGGACATGATGAATAAATGTGTCCCGGTTGAAGTTGAGGAGGCTTGAACATATGGCTGAAGCAAGAATCCCAGTATATGAGGCTGCTTTTGATGGGTCCAAGATCTATTGGTCCTATTTGTGTTCAGGTTTATTTCTCTCCATCTCCTTCTGACTGGCGTTGAGTGGAAGAAGAAGAGGCCCATCACCCACTCTCACTGTACTTTTTACACATAAAGCTGAAGTTCACTGTGGGAATAAAAGACATGTTTTCAAAATAGTGAGTTGGTTGAATTTCACACACACACACCCCCATTATAGACGAAATGCATACTCACTATAGAAAATTTGCTAAATACAGAAAAGCACAGTAAAATCCCCCAGAAAATCCCATCTTCCAGATATCACATGGTTAACATTTAACAATCTGTAAGGTGATTCAGGAACTCCTTATGGTCCTTGTGGGATAGGAGTCAAGTGCAAGAGGACTACTTGCTTTCTCTGGAGCAATAAGCATCTGGTGAGATTCCCCAGCAAGAAACCTGAATTTTGTCCCCTCCACCCCACCCGCTCTCTTGAATCTCCTAAGTAGATAGATGAGAAAAGTATAGATTAGAATTTTAGGAAACATCAGACAACCTGGAGCCCATTTCCAAAAAAGCCTTTAAATAAATTTCATTGCGGATGACATTGCAAGTCCTTTGTAGTTTAGAAATTAATTTTGACATACTTATTAACAGTCATGCTGGGAAAGGGATGGAGATAAGAAGAAACTAATTTTTCTAAATGCCAATTAGTTCGTGTATATGATTTTGGGGAAAGGTCTCAATGACC